CAGGGTTTTTTTGAAAATTTTCTTATTTTTTTGTGGGAGTTTTGTTACATTGTTACACTTGTGGTGTTCCCGGTCAAAAATGACCGGCCTATAGAAAATAGCTTATAAGTCACTCATTATACCATATTTTCACCCAATCTTGGATTCAATCTTTTTGTGAACTTGTTCTCTTTCAATTAGGACTGGTTTTATATTTCTGTTTGCATCTGATTAATCGGGGGCCTCATTTATCTGAAAGTAGGCATCTCATTTTTTGAGTAAACAACAAATAATTTATGAGTAAATTTGGAAATATGAAAAAAAAAAATGAAAAAAATGGCTACTGTTGATCACATTAGTCTACTCTAATGTTTCACCAGGAATTTTGTTTTGAAACTTTTGTTTTGTAAAAAATATGGCACATAGTCACACTTGTGGTGTTCCCGGTCAAAAATGACCGGCCTATAAAAAATAGCTTATAAATCACTCATTATACCATATTTTCACCCAATCTTGGATTCAATCTTTTTGTCAACTTGTTCTCTTTCAATTAGGACTGGTTTTATATTTCTGTTTGCATCTGATTAATCGTGGGCCTCATTTATCTGAGAGTGAGCATCTAATTTTTTTAGTAAAAAACAAATAATTTATGAGTAAATTTGGAAATATGAAAAAAAATATGAAAAAAATGGCTACTGTTAATCACACTAGTCTACTCTAATGTTTCACCGGGAATTTTGTTTTGAAACTTTTGTTTTGTAAAAAATATGGCACATAGTCACACTTGAGATGTTCCCGGTCAAAAATGACCGGCCTATAAAAAATAGCTTATAAATCACTTATAATACCATATTTTCACCCAATCTTGGATTCAATCTTTTTGTCAACTTGTTCTCTTTCAATTAGGACTGGTTTTATATTTCTGTTTGCATCTGATTAATCGTGGGCCTCATTTATCTGAGAGTAGGCATGGTCAAAAATGGTCACAATGGCCGACCATTGAAAGTGAATGGGAGAGACTGAAAATAACAGAACAATTTAGTTTTCAGGAGCATGTTCATTATTTTCATGTACACATATGAGCATGTGTGCTTGCAAACATCGAGCCTTTGGACCTGTGCATGTATCGATACATTTATACACACGCTACCCAGACACACACGTTAAAACACACAAACTTTTTTGAGTATTACACACATTCTTTTCCACAGAGAGAAATTTGATTCTACCCTAACCTGCATCTAATATACATTTATCCATCTGACATTACCACACACACACACACACACACACACACACACACGCACACACACGCACACACACACACACACACACAAACTGGCCGTGACTGCAGTGACCCGGCTTCAAAAGAATCTTTCTTTCATGGTCTTGTTTCATCACAGCTTCCAGACAAAATATTATGACATTTTGTTTTGGAACTGTGAGGTTCTCACACAGAACTAGACAATATTTACAAATATACATCATGTGATAGCACAGGCATATATAAAATGCCTCACAGCACCTTGCTTGTCATTCATTTGTGGCAGCACAATGGCAAAACAGCTCTGCACATGATGTTATTCATCAGATTTTTTACTCAGAAACTAGTGAGGAGGAGGAAATGCAGGATGCATCTTGCAGTGAAGATGTTTCTGAAGAGGAAGGCCTTCAGAAGAAAACCTGCCTTGCCTCATAGGTGGGGATGAAGGCCAGGACAAAGTTCCATCTTTTGACCAGAATGAAACGGTAACCTCAGCTGGGCCCTCATCACTGGAAGACTGCTCCTCATCAGTTGTTTCAAGCTCCGTAGCCAATTCAGTGGTGCCTTCCTCTTCAGAAACATCTTCACTGCAAGATGCATCCTGAATTTCCTCCTCCTCACTAGTTTCTGAGTCAAAAATCTGATCACGGCCTGTGTGTGTGTGTGTGTGGTAATGTCAGATGGATAAATGTATATTAGATGCAGGTTAGGGTAGGATCAAATTTCTCTCTGTGGAAAAGAATGTGTGTAATATTTAAAAAAGTTTGTGTGTTTTAACGTGTGTGTGTCTGGATAGCGTGTGTATAAATGTATCGATACATGCACAGGTCCAAGGGCTCGATGTTTGCAAGCACACATGCTCATATGTGTACATGAAAATAATGAACATGCTCCTGAAAACTAAATTGTTCTGTTATTTTCAGTCTCTCCCATTCACTTTCAATGGTCGGCCATTGTGACCATTTTTGACCATGCCTACTCTCAGATAAATGAGGCCCACGATTAATCAGATGCAAACAGAAATATAAAACCAGTCCTAATTGAAAGAGAACAAGTTGACAAAAAGATTGAATCCAAGATTGGGTGAAAATAAGGTATAATGAGTGACTTATAAGCTATTTTTTATAGGCCGGTCATTTTTGACCGGGAACACCACAAGTGTGACTATGAGCCATATTTTTTACAAAACAAAAGTTTCAAAACAAAATTCCTGGTGAAACATTAGAGTAGACTAGTGTGATCAACAGTAGCCATTTTTTTTTTTTTTTTTTTTTAATATTTCCAAATTTACTCATAAATTATTTGTTTTTTACTCAAAAAATGAGATGCCTACTCTCAGACAAATGAGGCCCCCGATTAATCAGATGCAAACAGAAATATAAAACCAGTCCTAATTGAAAGAGAACAAGTTGACAAAAAGATTGAATCCAAGATTGGGTGAAAATATGGTATAATGAGTGACTTATAAGCTATTTTTTATAGGCCGGTCATTTTTGACCGGGAACACCACAAGTGTGACTATGAGCCATATTTTTTACAAAACAAAAGTTTCAAAACAAAATTCCTGGTGAAACATTAGAGTAGACTAGTGTGATCAACAGTAGCCATTTTTTTCATTTTTTTTTTTCATATTTCCAAATTTACTCATAAATTATTTGTTTTTTACTCAAAAAATGAGATGCCTACTCTCAGACAAATGAGGCCCCCGATTAATCAGATGCAAACAGAAATATAAAACCAGTCCTAATTGAAAGAGAACAAGTTGACAAAAAGATTGAATCCAAGATTGGGTGAAAATATGGTATAATGAGTGACTTATAAGCTATTTTTTATAGGCCGGTCATTTTTGACCGGGAACACCACAAGTGTGACTATGTGCCATATTTTTTACAAAACAAAAGTATCAAAACAAAATTCCTGGTGAAAATGTTAAGTTGACTAGTGTGATCAACAGTACCAATTTTCTTCAGATTTTATTTAATATTTCCAAAATTATTCAATTTTTTTTTAAAAATTACTCAAAAAATGAAATGCCTACTCTCAAATAAATGAGGCCTATGATTATTCAGATGCAAATCAAAATATAAAACCAGTCCTAATTGAAAGAGAACATGTTGACAAAAAGATTGAATCCAAGATTGGGTGAAAATATGGTATAATGAGTGATTTATAAGGTTTTTTTTATGGCCCGGTCATTTTTGACCGGGAACACCACAGGTGTTATAGGGTTTTGAACACCACATGAGGGTTAACAGACGGCCCATTTTTATTTTTGACAAGCTGCAGAGATTTTTAAGACGCTATATTTTTCTCATTCATGAATTGGCCCAAAAAAGGTTGAGAACCACTGCGCTAAAGTGACAACTGACTTCAAGAAGTAAAGAAAATAGTTAAAGTTCATGTTTTTGCCCTTCGCAATACTATAATAGTTAAAAGACATAGCTAAAAGTGAGACTGTGTATCATGATGCTGTATTATTCTGCTAGTTAAAAGTGTGTTAACTTACTATTGCTTAACTTAACTTACTGTTACTTAATATTGCTGTGAGCTTGACAGCTTGTGATTCATGCGCAAACATGTCAGCCAGCGCGGCATCGCACGTCAAGTTCGTAGAGAGCTTTATTCAATCCATTTTAAATTCTGATTTTGGCCGCTTCTCAAATCGGTCAAACCATAGATATTACCTAAGAAGTTCAAGTAAATGCGCTAGAAATCTGTGCTCATTCAAGGATGTGCATTTATTGCATGGACGGAGAGAAAGCACTGACACCTCCAGGAATTTTCATCTGACGGTACATAAGCATCTATTCTATCTGTTCAGTGAGAGCAACGGTACCGCAGAACGAGTGTAGCCTCTATATCTATAGACGTTTTTAAATCTGAAAACTCCAAAAAAGCAACGAAATTGTCAGACATCCTCCATGAGTGCATGTTCACAGAGGAAAACAACTGAAAAACAGCGCTGGTTGTTCTCTCGATACTCGACAACGACGGAATACAAAGGCGTGGGCGAAGGTATAATGCTTGTATTAAATTGTATTAAATAACACAGAAAAAAGCAAAAACACGGCAGATATGTCAAGTTCAGCAGCTGGAATTAGCTAAGGAAGTAACGTGGCGCTAACCGCAGACAAACGGCTAGTAGTGTCAGCAGCGGCAATCCACCTGTCACTCAAGTGGTCACGCCCTTAATTATTTAGAACTTTAAGGCTTAATAACATTTAAACCGATGAGTTATAAAAAAATTCACACCCCTCACAGTTGTCATGAAGGGCAAAATTGGCTATATAGACCAAAACCACTTTTTGCACCAGGCTGTAAACATGTTTTTTTCTGCTGTAAAGTTGGTCATTTTAACATGGGGGAGATGCAGATTTGACTCACTTTTGCATCGAGTCTCAAGCAGCCAGTCGATGAATTGCAGTTTAACTCACTTCCCTGTTGGTTTCAGGAGAGAGAAGGGGAGGTTGCCACTTTATCCAGAAACAAAAAAAACACACAAGGATTCTTCATGCTCTTTACTTGTGTATTTTCTTCTTTTGTTTTCTTATTGATGCTAGTTGTACTGCTTATGAATATATACTACGTTTTAATGTCATTAAAATAGTTAAATATAGATAATAATAGATAAATACATCATAAAAATATACTTTTTAATGTTTAATTAGATATATCAATATAGTGTGTCCATGAGCATGTGTGTGAGATCAGGTTGAAAGATAAACTGCTGAAGAATTGTATCATTGTTTCTTTTCAGAAATCGAGGCAAAGGAAGCATGTGACTGGCTGAGGGCGGCGGGATTCCCACAGTATGCCCAACTTTATGAGGGTAAGAAATGGGATTAATATCTATAAACATAGACACAGATGTCAAAGAATTGCTCGTTGATTCGGTGGCCTCAACAAATGTCTGCAGTGTGGTTGCAGCTGTGAGGTTAAGTGACGGTAAAAATCAGGAATGCAGTGAGAGAGAGAGAGTTGCTTTGAGTTTGAGATCACACCTATCCCATCCCACCTCAGCTGGGCGGACAGAAGCCAAGCAGTGATCACAAGCTGAATTATTCTTGATTTTCCGCTTCAGACATATGGAATAAAAACTGCATTTATACAGCTGTGTGCTCCATTTGTCAGCACATTTTTCTTCTTCCCTCTTTATCTTTTCTGGTAATTTTCAGGCCACGGCGAGCTATTTGCAGACTAGAGTTTCTATCCAAAGGGAGGAAGAGGTCATGGGAAAAAGTCTTCATTATCACTGCCGGGAAAATACAGGCCTTTGCCTCAGTCTTCCACATAGGCCAACAAAGGGGTCAAGAGGATACTGTTCTCTCTGCCGCTCTCTCTCTCTCTCTCTGTTCCCCTGACTCCTCCTTATGATGCTTTACGTCAATGAGCGATAAAATGTCAACAATTCTATATTTAATGCCGTGTAAATTCATGGCTTGGCTCTCATGAGAAAATGGAAAAAGCTCTCTTTGGCCTTTATGACATACGGTAAATGAACTCCCAGATTCCACTGGGAAAATACCTTAGTGTTCATCTTGATCTGTCTCTCCTCCTTTTTGCTAATTGTCTAAATTTTTTTGAGTCATTTCGAGTGAGCGATAACCCATGGTTCAGTTTCAGAGCTGGTCTGGGTAACACTTTACAAAAACCTCAAAAGCTTACAATGACTTCAGTCAAAGTCCTTTTAGGCAAGTCATGCCACTCGGCCGCCATCTTGGCAACGCCTCCGGGCAGCTATTTCGGACTAACAAGACCAGGCTCCTATCTAAATGAATGGGGAGAGAGTCAGAACTGAACTGGTCACCAGGACATAAAAACCGCTTGTATAGAAACAGCAGTTAAAATATGATAAAAATCGCTGAAAAAGTTTGATGACTTTGCCCCAATATAAGGTTTAAAAGGCCTTTTTCTCCACAGGTTATACGTTTACTACGCATGCGCAAGGGTTCTTGTCTCCGCTGTCGCAAACCTCAACTGTGCGCATGCGTCAGTGGAACCAGACGATAGGCTTACATGTTTCCCGGCTTGACTGTTAAAAGCAGACGATTGGCTTTCCAGCGGGAGGGGCGGGGCATGTGCATACAACCGCCATCTTTGGCGTTACGGGTTTTCCCTATATAGTTGTATTGAGGAAGTGGCATGTCTCTATACAAATTGTCTCTGCTTCAGTCATTACTAGAGAGTTATCATGCTTTTCACTTTAGAATACTGTCCCAAAGAAGTAGTTATTCCTTCTGAATGATTTGGTAATACTTGAATCATTACTAGTGGGTTACCACGATTTTCACTTTAGAATGAATTATACATTATGCATTATTCACATTAACTATGAACATAGTTCTTAGTAGTCCTCTGGGAAGTATGGAAAAAAAGGGTTTCACTTTATTTTGATGGTCCCTTTAACACATTCTGTTGACTATAAGTAACCTTGCACCTACATGTCTACTAACTCTCATTAGAGTGTTATTAGAGTATTAGCAGACTGGTAGGTTTAGGGTTAGAATAAGTTGACATATACTTATAAAGTTAACTTAATTATAGAATGTCTGTTGGAGGACCATCACAATAAAAAGATAGCAGATATTAGAAGAGTCTACTAATACTCTAATGAGAGTTAGTTGAGACATAGGTGCAACTTTACTTATAGTCAACAGAATGTTCAAAAGGGACCATCAATAATAGTTATTGATTAGCTAATAGTGAACTACCTCATTCAATTTAGTGTTATTATTACCTAATTAGATAACCAGAGTTTCTTGATAATAGCAGTTACTAGAATGCATTACTCATTTGTTCCTGTGTAGTTATTCATCAATGACGGAACCGTATTCTAAAGTGTTACCCTGGTCTGCTGTGTACAGTATAATGTAATCAGTGAAGGAGCGTCTGCCAGAGATAGCGCTTGCTTTATAAGAATTACACCACAGCTGCTGTGGATCTGTGATCCTCTGCAGAACCTCCACAGATGTCTGGCTGGATGAACTAGAAACATTGTATCCACTTATCTCTCTTATTTGTTTATTTCTCCCTTTCTAGTTTAATTCATGATTGCGATTCGCTTCATATGTCTTGAAAATATCATTAAATAACATGCACATAATCCATATGTGAACTTTTGAAGATGTTGGTTACATTAAACCTCTTGAACAGGACAGAAAAGTGATCTGCTTCCTGTCTCTGCCTACAGATTCCCAGTTTCCCATTGAAATATCCGCAGTCAAGAGGGACCATGACTTTCTCGACAAAGACCTTGTGGAACCTCTTTGCCGGTAGGTTTCTAAATGTCTAGATTATCTCAATGTTTTGAGATTGAGAGTCTTGCAGTCTACAGGATGGAATCTGATACACCGTCTTTACTTAAAATGACAGCTGTGAAAATCAAAGACCTTACTGTCAATCACTCGAGCTCTGATGGCTATGTTGTTCTGGCCATTTATATTGCTCAGTGTTTAGCAATGTGGCACAATAAGGACAACATGAAATTAAAATTGTTCACATTTACTTTCTTATTTAATGTTGCTGGTCTTATTGTGCACAATGATGTAGTAGCTTTCTCTGCCACTGAAACAACTCTTCTTTTTTATAAGCAAACGTGTTTTTATGTTATTGGTTTCATAAAAACGCACTACACCTTTTTCCCAAAAGTCCTTTTTATGACCAAACGTGTTTGAAGAAACTTCAGCAGTTCTTTTTAAGACCAGTACCCAACCAGACGAAACACTATTGTTGCCCCCCATTCTGCATGTACAAGTACGAGAAAGCTTGGCGGTGCTGGCCCGGTGGCGACCTCACCTCTGTAGCTGTCTGACCCATGTCCTCCATAAAGTCTGTCCCCTTCCCCGTCGCTTTGATCCCTAATGCAGCCCCCATGGAGTCCGCTCTGATGTCCCTCTCAAAGGCCTGAGGGAGAGCATGGGGGTGTAGAGGGATAGGCTACTAACAGATGGTTGTGTGTGTTTTCGTGAAACGAGGCCCGGGGTTTGAGTCGTTGAGGGTTTCTAGCAGGTTGTGTCTAATGCCACTAATGACAGCGTTAGGGAGATCTGACAGCTTTACTGTCAGAGAATACACACACCACTCTTAAGGACGGTGTCTGCTGGAATGATAATGGCGTTTCATTATCACGCCACAGACACGATATTTACGCATATTTATGTGGCCATCTGGGCCTGGATGCTTAATTAGGGAATCTTGATTGAAAAGTGGAGCAGATTGTTTCGGCAGACAGCTGATTAACAGCGCTGATGTCATGACGGAACATTTTAGCGTGTCAAAAACAACAAGTCTGGTTTTATAGGTAAAATAATAGCTAGTTTGTGTCTGGAATGGATATAAAGTGAGGGGTCTGCAGTCTTTTGTAGAGTGAAGAGGATTGTGTCTGTGTGTGTAAAAAGGGGTGGAGGAAAACTCTTCAGGGGTGAAGATCAGTCAGATGAGAACGTTAAAGGGCGCTTTAGGGTTAGATCAAAGAGGAGGTGGACGAGAAGGTGGATTGCCCACTCTCTCCCTCTTTATCCTTCTGTTTTTCCTTCTGCAGCCCCATCAGAGTCTCATTCATTCATGGCCATGTCTTGAAAGAGATTAGAACCTACGGCTGCCAAGCTGTCCCGTCACTCTTTCCGGCAGCCAATCAGGACACAGATAGTGAGAGTTTCTTGAAATCTATACCTGCACGTAGAGAGGCAAACAGAGGTTAGACGAGTGTAGGATCTACAGTGGATTGTCTCTCTCTCTCTCTCTCTGTGGCTGTATGGTTTCTTTGTGGTGGAGATGAGAGTGACGGATGCACCAGTGACTGTGTCTTCTCTCTTCCAGTCGACTCAACACTCTGAACAAGTGTGCCTCCATGAAACTGGACGTGAGCCTCCCCAAGAAGAAAGTAAGTGGCTGTTTAATCGATTCTTTTTTACTTTAATTTTTTTTTTATCCTAAATGTGATTTGGGTAAATCTGTCAAGAAATATCTGTCATATTTACAAACAATGAAGATGTATTATTGAAAGTATAAAGTACAGTGTGTATGTATATTGTGATATACGTCTACACTGCCATTCAAAGATTTTTGGGTCAGTAAGATTTTTAACGTCTCACCAAGGCTGTTTATTTGATTGAAATACAATAAAACAGCAATATTGTGAAATATTACTACAATTTAAAAGCACTGTTTTGATATATTTTAAAATGTAATTTATAAAAAAAAAAACTGAATATTCAGCGTCATTACGCCAGTCTTCGGTGTCACATGATCTTTCAGAAATCAACTAATATGTTTATTTGCAGCTCAATAAACATGTCTTATTATTATCAATGCAGAAAACAGTTTTTGAGGACACTGTGATACATTTTGTCAGGATTCTTTGATGAACAGAAAGTTTATTTGACAGTAATTATTTTAGCTAAAAATCTTCTGTAGCAAATGTAGCCTATTTACTGTCACTTTTGGTGAATTTAATGCATCCTTGCTGCATAAGTATTTTTTTTTAATTTCTGTAAAATTTCTTTTGAATGGTATTGTATAAATATCGTGAGTTGAAGTTATGAAGATTTTAATCATTACTGTATAACATTATATAATATTATGTCATTACTGTATTACATTATATGGAATACATCAGATTTTTGTGCATTACAGTAATGAGAATTTTGGGGGTAATGTCCTTCATTGTCATGAAAGTAATTTCATAGTGTCTATTCAAAATACATTTTCAAATAATGAAAAAACATTTCTTCATGATATTCACCCTTTTATTTTAGAGACAAATGAAATATCTGTTCTATTACATAATCTATATAAATGCAACATTCTTACTATTACTATAATGGCTTTGGTTTATGGTGCAGGTATGCATGCAAAATAAAAATCTCTTTAGAGTAAATCTGTCTGTCTAGGTTTTTAAAATGGATTATTTGGCTTGTGAACAGCTTATAACAAAGAAGATTATATAAAAAGAGCAGCCGTTCGCAGTCAATAGAATTGATGATGGTTTTAAAGCACAGAAGTGTCAGTTTAATCTTCATTTAAGACTCTTTGACTGTTTACTCAGGGGTCGTATTTCAGACTAATTATGATTGTAAGCTGTGGATCTCATTCAGTAGGTCATTTCTGACGCTTCTGCTTGTACTGACGTCTCAGGCATGTGAAAGGGGTCTTTGGGTGTTGCTGTCTTTAACACAACCAGATGGTGATTTGATACCTGTTATGTTCATGTCCTCTTGTTTGGATGATATTTGAGAATTCCCCTAACCAGCTAGTATGACTTAGGGGATGTTTTTGAAATAGTCTCCTGACATTTTTCAAATACCATGAGCCTCTTTTGACATCATCACTATTATTCAATTTAAATGTATGAGGTCTGTGATATTTTAAATAGGAAATGGGATGTGAAAGTATATACAATGCTAAGAGGGTGTCAGAGCCATTCACAGCTCTTTCCTGTACTGTGAGCTCACATGTCTGGACTTTACTATCTATAAAACATATTCACACTTTAAAAAAAATTTAATAACTGAATAAATTACAACTATAAATAAATTAGTCATTTGACTGCAATAAAAATAATTGTCAGGAGTTTTTTTTTTTCTGTTTTAGAAAGAAAGACAACAGCTGTGGAAAAAAATATTAAATTCCAAATAAAAATGAAAAAGAAATGATACTTTTGCATTAAAAATATAAAATTAAGACTCATTTTAAAAACATTTGCAAAATAATTTATGAGCATATTTAAATCCCCAAACATAATTGTTGGTAGCTTAATGCAAGGAAAAAAATAACAAATTCTCATTCCTGTAATGCAAAAAAGAGACATTTTTTAAAGTACAGTATGTTTCATAATATTTTCTTTTATTCAATTGTTATGCGTTTTTTTTTTTTTTACTATATATTATTTTATATAATTATACTAAGGTGTTCTGGGTGGTTGCTAGAGCCTTGGTAAGCTAGTTAGTTGCATACTGGCCTTAGTCAAAAGAGCCCATCTCCAAGTCTTAATGTTTTTTTGTTTTTTTTTGTGGCAGGGGTGTCCAATCCTGCTCCTGGAGGGCCACTGTCCTGCAGAGTTATGCTCCAACCGCAATTAAGCACACCTGAACCAGCTAATCAAGCTCTTACTAGGCATACTAGAACAGGCAGGAGTGTTGAGGCAAGTTGGAGCTAAACTCTGCAGGATAGTGGTCCTCCGGGACCGAGTTCTGATACCGTCCAGCGACACTGTGAGATCTTTTGCCTATTTTATCGTCCACTGAATGAGAATTGCAAGTCAGTTTTTAGCTATACCACAGAATAATGACTAAATACTTTAGTTAAGGAGCTGAAAAATGTACTCAAAAATATGTCAAACTAAGTCTATTCCTGTTCTTTCTTGTGCCCGCAGAGTGAGGATTCTGATGAGGAGGACCTGCTGGCCATCAGCAATAGATGGACATTTGAGTGGAACAGTCGGCGCTGGTCACGTATGCAAGACATCGATTACCTCTTGGGTAGAGAAGAGGAGCGGAGCCCCTCGGAGGTGGGTGAGCATCTGCGGACCACTGTGAGCAGTGAGAGCATTCTGACAGACCTCAGTGAGCCGGAGATCTGCTCCCTGCACAGTGAAGACTCATTGGCTGCCATGCCTGACTCCGCCTCGCTCACCCCACTGCACTTACCCAGAGAGCTGCCTCATTACAATTCACTTCCTGCTAAGAGCAGGCGACGTGGACGCACACGCGCCAAAGACTTTCTGAGGAGGATGGAGACGCTGGGTCGGACGTGGGGGCCATCGATGGGTCGTTCAGAGCGACGCTCTTTGGTTATTAGCGGCCCAGTTCTCCAAAGCGAGCCAGAGGCGTTAAAGACTCTACAATGTGTTCAGATTTTTAACGATGGGCCTCTAAACTCTGAAAACATGCCATCTGCCAAAAACTGCCCAAATTCGTTGGCCGGCAGTGAGGCCAGTAGCCAGTCGGAGACCAGCGGTAGTACCGGAAGCACGCCGAACATGAAGGGACGTGTCTCAAACTTGTATCCTCCTGGTAAACGTGCAGGTGTCTACCTCGAAGACATTGATGTTCTCGCCGGCGCCCCCCAGAGGAGGAGACCGGTTGAAAAGAGCCGCAAAAATGATTTCCGCTCCTATGATGAGCTATTGGTGCATATCCCAAAAGATCACAAACCTGGTACCTTCCCTAAAGCGCTGTCAATCGAGAGTCTGACACCAGCAAGTAAGGGACAAAGAAACTGGAAGGTTCTGGATTCAGAGCCACAGTTGTATAAGTGCAGGAAAGTTGGCGGAAGGGAATTCCGGCCCGTGGCGCGCTGCTGTCCGCGGGGAAGCAGAATCAGCGTGTACGATAACGTACCCGGCTCACACCTGTATGCAAGCACGGGGGACTTATTGGACCTTGAAAAGGAGGATATATTCCCACATTTAGATGACATATTGCAGCATGTGAATGGCTTACAGCAGATCGTGGACCATTGGTCCAAAAACGTCTTGCCGGAGAGTGAAGGGGAGGGGGAGGGCAGCAGGGGGCGGGACCAGAGGATTGTTGACGGCCAATCTTCCAGTCAGATCACACTGGACTTTGAGGGGACCTCGGTCGAAGGCCTGACCACTCCGTGTGATGGCAACAGGGACGGGGTTTCGTTAAATGGCACGGACACCTCCAGCACCAGAGAGAGGAGGGACTCGGGGGTGGGAGCTTCTCTCACACGACCACAGTAAGACTTCAGGATGGATATACTGAGAGACGCTCATTCAAATATCGAGAAAGTGATTTGTGTTCAAAGTGCGATCACACTAGCTTGTAAGCTTTAGATATCCATACAGCTTCTCTTATATAAATATATATCTGCAGGCAGATATATATGAAAAATTGCTTGAATACTGATAATTGAAATGCATGATACAAAATCTTGTGTGACTGCCCCTTAACAAATTTTTGTTTGTTTGGGATTTGGTGTGTAAGAACACAAAACATTTTTTATTGCAGTAGTTTTTTTATATTTATACTTTAAAGAGCAGAATTAAATGATCTTTACATGATCAAATGTTCATGAATATTTATGTTTTTGTTGTATTTCTAGCCTTAGATGGCCAAGCTTCAGGATGTCAAACCTCCTCAGCCAATCAGGAATCTCGCTTCAGATATCTAGCCAATCAGTTGGCCAGCTTAGCTTGCTGCAGAAATTCTCTTTATTGCGTCTCACTGCAGTCATGGAAAAATACTCCATGTCCAACAAGCACGGGTGGACTTGGTGAGTTGCCTACAAACAAATTTGGGACTGATCATTAGGATAATAAAAAAAAAAAAATTACCAATGGAGTACAAAGGAGTAAGAATGTGACATCAAGTATTCAGCATTATAGCGTACACTACCATTTATGGCATCCTGGCCAAATTTGCCCATTGGCCCCTGTCCATCATGGCCTCCTAATCATCCACATACATACTAATTGGCTTCATCACTCTGTCTCCTCTCCACCAATAAGCTGGTGTGTGGTGGGCGTTCTGACGCAATATGGCTGCCGTCGCATCATCCAGGTGGATGCTGCACATTGGTGGTGGTTGAGGAGATTCCCCCCTTCTATGTACCCAGAGTACCCAGAAAAGCGCTATATAAATGTAACAAATTATTATTATTTAAAAGTTTTCTGATAAAAATAATTTATTTGATCAGAAATAAAGTAAAAACAGTAATATTGTGAAATTATGAAAAATTTTAAATAACTGTTTTCTATTGTAATATATTTTCAAATGTATTTTATTCCTGTGATGGCAAAGCTGTATTTTCAGCATCATTACTCCAGTGTCACATGATCCTTCAGAAATCATTCTAATATGTTGATTTGGTGCTCAAGAAACATTTCTTAGTACTATCAATGCTGAAAACAGTTGTTCTGTTTAATATTTTTGTGGAAACTGATGCATTTTTCAGGATTTTTTCTTTGATTAATAGAAAGTTCAAAAGAAAAAAAAGAAGAAATCATTTGTTACATACATTGTCTGTACTGTCACTAATCCTTGCTGAATACAAGTATTAAGTTCTTTAAAAAAAATTACTGACCCCAAACTTTTGAATGGAAGTGTACATACACAAGTCAAGGGTCTTTTAAAGCAACAAGATGAGTCAGTCTTGGAAAGTCCCTGTGGGTGTAGTTGGGGTTTACTTATCAGTTATTAGCTCTTATTGAATGACACACTGATCAAAGTGTTTCCTCAGTCAAGTGAGTCATATGTTAAAACTCCAGAGCTTGTGGAACGGTCTTATCCAGTAAATCACAGTTCTGCCCTCCAACTCTGCACTCTTCCATTCGCACTCCTTCCTACATTATATATCAAGACTCTTATTGCAGATCCTATACACACAGACAGACTGTACATTTATATACATACATATGGACATAAACTGATCTCCTCTTCTTAATACTGTGCATATATTATATGTTTTTAGGTCAGTGCCAAAATTTATGAAGAGAATGAAGGGACCAGACTACAAGGATAAGGTGGTTTTCGGCGTTCCTCTGATTGTCCACGTCCAGCGGTACGGACACCCTTTGCCCTTAAGCTTACAGCTCGCCCTGCGCTATTTAAGGAGCCAGTGTTTGGACCAGGTACACGGTTTCATTCATATTTGCAAGATTGATTATAAGGTTCAGTCTAATTTAGGTCACAGTCAAAGGCTACATTCAGACTGTCAGTCCAAATCCGATTTTTGTGTATTTAAGATTGAAATCCGATCAGATTTAGCAAGTGTGAACGGCCAAAAATCACATGAAATTTTGAAAAGTTTCGAGCTACATTCATATGTGGTTTGAAATCATATTTAAATCTCAATTCGGGAAATCCGTCTCAGTTTGACTGCTCTGATCGGATTTAACATCAGACGTTGTTATAGGAAACATGTTAAAAATCGCTGCACAAACAAGGTTGTGGTGTTGTCGGACGAGCAGGAAATGACAATAGCCTAAAATGGAAACCGATGGAGACAACAGGACAGAATAAAGCCGCTCATACCAGCCTCTTACGGTTCTGCCGCTGCCTCAGTAGTCCAGCGCGGAGGCTACATATTGTCATGTTGTAAATATGGCAACATCTGTATTGCAAACCCCTCCATGTTGCGGTTGTTGTTGGTGTATGCATACCAACGCAATATCATTGCCATAGAAACCAATGCAGATATTACGGAAAATTAAAGAGCGGCATGGACACACAAATCAGATCTGAACAGTTGCGATACACCATGTGGACATCAATAATTTTAAGATCTGATTCCAATCGCATACACAAATAATTGGATTTGGACTGACAGTGTGAACGTAGCCTAAAATATTGCAAACTCAGAAAAAATCTTGATGGTCTAGTCCAGTCACTGCTGTGTTTCTAAAGATAGAAAAGCCAAAGTTTACAAACCAAAGTCTTTGTTTTTCTTCCCTGTATGTTAATGTCTTAGTAATTCGAGATCAAATGAGATGTATTCGCTTCATTATTATGAAATCATTATTACTATCGCTCATATTTTGGGTTAGGTTTTGAACAAACGTTTTTGCAACAGTCATGAACAATACCTCAAATTGAGCGGTTTGTTGATATTTCTTTTCCAAATAATCAGACATACGATTTTCATCTGGTGGACGAAAAAAATACCATAAATTTACATAGACTTTGGTTCAGTAAACCCTTTCCCTTCTAAAACCCCTGATCGCTTGGATTCCTCTTGAAATGAGTGGATTTTGCCAGCAAAATTTCACCAAGCAATGTTAATGCCACTCCTTTGTCAGCCACCCAAAAAACCCAACCACTTAGCGGCACCCAGGGAAGCACCCACAACACCCTAGCCTTGCAAGCACCCCTCACATTTTCTTTATAAAAAGTAAAATTATTTGCTTTTCTTGTTGTGCTTCAGGTGGGACTTTTCCGCAAATCTGGAGTGAAGTCTCGTATTCAGGCTCTCAGGCAAATGTGTGAAAACTCCCCAGAAAATGTGAACTACGAGGATCAGTCCGCGTATGACGTGGCGGACATGGTCAAACAGTTCTTCAGAGACCTGCCTGAGCCTCTCCTCACAAGCAAAATGGGCGAGACCATCCTCCACATATACCAGTGTAAGCATTTCCTGTCTGTTACCAGCTCATGTGCACAAATGCTACATACAGTACTTTCAAATCCCTAACACTCTCTTTGTACTTTCATTCTACCCAGATGTCCCTAAAGAACAACGCTTACAGGCTGTGCAGGCAGCTATCATGCTAATGGCCGACGAAAACCGTGATGTCCTGCAGACACTGCTGTGCTTCCTAAATGATGTCACTTCCTCTGTTGAGGAGAACCAGATGACCCCCATGAACCTGGCAGTGTGCCTCGCTCCTTCTCTCTTCCACCTCAACATCATGAAGAATGATAACCTGTCGCCTAGGTAGTTCCGTTTTCAGTGCATTCCAACACATGTGCTCTACTTAGAAAGGGTGAAACTTGGGTTTCATTATTGTATAGGAGCTATAGGATGATATGTGTGCTTTGTCATTAGGAGTCCATGGCCCTGAGGTATCGTGAGAAGGCGTGAAGGGTTTTATTAACTCAATGTACAAACAACTCCCACATCATTGTGTCGAGTAATGCTCCCTAATAAACACAGAGCAGACACACTTCCCTGAGGGCCAGAGACAGGAGGAGGTGTGGAGGGCGTTTTAAAAGAGACGGCTAGTTTAGCTTTACCTCAGACTTACCCAGACTGGGCGAAGGGGGATGGGGGTATTAGGAGACTTCTTCATAATGTATAAAGTGTACCATGAGAGATGTTTAGGTAAAATTTTATTTAAATGTCCTTGTTACACGTTACATTTACTATAGTAATAACTATAAATTAGACATAATTACATGCTTTTACAACTACCCCCAAACCAAACCCTAAGCCTACACTGACCCTTTAGTAAGTACATGTAGTTCATTAATATTACTCAGTGCTTAAATGTATAATTACACTGTAACAGGGACACATCAAAATAACCGTGTAACCGATGTTTTTCATTGGTTTAATCGTTTGTTTTATATGCTTACAGCCACAAATATTGTGAAAATATAATGGATCACATGGAAGCTCAAGCACATGATGTCTTTTATTGCATTCAGGTCTATTCAGAGGAAGTATGCCACTGGGCGGCCAGACCAGAAGGACTTGAATGAGAACCTTGCGGCCACTCAGGGGCTTTCGCACATGATTGCTGAGTGCAATCAGCTGTTTGAGGTACGAGATACATGTTCTGTCATGTTTGCAATGAGAAGTTGTACAGTACGTAAAATTATGTGCAGAACAAGTACAAAATGTTTAGCTGATCATTTTAATCTTTTCAGTATGGGAATACATTACCGCTTATAAGTTTGGGATCAATACGATGTTTTTTTTGTTGTTGTTTTTTTAAAGAAATTAATACTTTTATTCAAGGATGCATTAAATTTGTTTAAAATTGACAGTAAAAACTTTTACATTGTTTTTAAATAAAGGCTGTTCTTTTGAACTTTCTTTTCATCGAATCTTGAAAAAAGCTGAAAATTCAGCTTTGTCATCACAGAAATAAATTACATTTTAAAATAGATTAAAATAGAAAACAGTTATTTTAAATTGTAATAATATTTCAAGATTTTCTACTGTATTTCTGATCAAATAAATGCAGCCTTGGTGAGTATAAGAGACTTTCAAAAACATTTAAAAAAAAATACTGACCTCTATTTAAAAGAAATGTCAGTGTTGGAGGACAAAAGGAGACTTCGTTTGAAAATGTTTTTTTCTTTTAATGTGGTTTGTGCAGATTCCTCAGGAGATGCTCTCTCAGTCCAGGAACTCGTACATGGAAGCTGAGCTGCTGGCGCCCTCTTTGGACGAGCTCTGTAAAAAACAGTCACAACAGGACGAGGAAGAGGAAGAGGAGGAAGAAAGTACATATCACTCTTATCTGGAGAGCCTGATACAGAATTTGATGAAAGAGGCCAAAGACAAGACCAAAGGCTGGGTGACCAGATCAAACATTGACAATGCCGAGCTATCATTCAAAAAGGTAAGAACTAATTGTATTCATTCATTCATGTTGCATAGACTGTTTTTAATATTTACATTTGTAATAATACCCTGTAATACTTCCATAAAAATACTATAAATTAAAACATTTATTTATTTGTTGTTTTGTTTTTTATTTAAATGTATTTATTAAATTCTCTCTTTAACATATTGATTACATTTTAGTGAATTATGAATGTCGGATCAAATTTATTTGGACAAATAATGTGAATACTGAAATTATAGACCGATGCATGACATGGGAACATGAAGTAGTTCATGTTCTACCCTATCCAATAAAAAAAACAAAATCCTATAACATAGTTAAAAGTCTGAGGGAAGTGTGTTGTCTCGCGCAGGTGGGAGACGGGACCCCGTTGAGACGCTGGCGTGTTTCTGTAGAGGTGGAGGCTCCTCCATCAGTGGTGCTGAACCGTATACTGCGAGAGCGCCACCTGTGGGACAGTAACCTGCTGCAGTGGAAGGTTCTGGAAACTCTGGACAAGCAGACAGAAGTGTACCAGTATGAGCTGAACAGCATGGCCCCTCACCCCAGCAGAGACTTTGTGGTGCTCAGGTGAGTACAAAAACATCATCTGATCCTGCGTGTGTGATGTAAATCCTCATTTTTTTTATGTATGTACATTTATAGCAGTAGCACTATACTTTGTATTATAGTATACCCTATTCTGACTGCCGTTATCAATCTCTCTCTATTTTTTCCCTCTTTTTGAAAGGTGTGAAAACACTATCGTGGAGTTTTTCTTTTGTTATTTGAGCAAATGGGAACACAAAAAAAATATATATTTCATGTAATATCTCATTCACCGCTATAGAAGTTTACCCAACTATGACGACTTCCGCTTCTGAGAAACCCGGAAATGTGAAAAGGGTTGTTTACTCTTGGATCCGTGTGCTCATTTTTGATCGCATTATCAAATATCTGAATACGAATTACTGATTACACCATTAAAGCTGTAATAAAGGCATGTGCTTCATTTGAGCATCTGCAGCGAGAGCTTTTTGTGCGTCATTCGGTGCTTGTGATTCTCAGAACGCTGAGGTCGTAAAAAGATCTAGCATTGCCCTGCTGAACAGCTGGGCATTCATGGAGTATTACTGAAAGAGACTCACAGAGCACACTTCTGTTGCTTCAACATAAAATGCTTTGAACTAAGCAAATTAGACCACCCAGGTCATGCCCTGAATATCACTGTAAGATTACAGTTTAACATCATTTGCCAAATACGCAGCTGTGAGGTGCAAACAGTAATCTGATCGAAGCAATATATTGCATGTTATTTGATAATTAATTAAATTTGCACTTGGCAGATTGACACCTACATCTCTTGTGTCAGGAATCTCACTATCAAGAGTGTTTGCTGTGATTTATATTGGTGTTGTTTTCTTTTCTGTTTAGGACGTGGAGGACAGATATGCCAAAAGGGGTGTGTGTACTGGTGTCATTGTCGATCGACCATGAGGAAAGCCCACAGCTGGCCGGAGTGAGAGGGGTCGTTCTGGAATCACAGTATCTGCTAGAACCATGTGGCTCTGGCAAGTCCAGACTCACACATATATGCAGAGTTGATCTGAAGTAAGTGCTTTGAAGACACTACCACCGTTCATATGTTTGGGGTCAGAAAGATGAATGGATAGATTTATTCATATTTTATAATGTAATAAAATATCAAATAAATGCTGTTCTTTTGAACTTTCTATTCATCAAAGAATCTTTCAAAAATGTATCTGGGTTTCCACAAAATATTATTCAAAAATGTTAACTGTTTTCAACATTGATAATAATAACAAATGTCCTAATGAGCATATTACATTGATTTCTGAAGGATCATGTGACACTGAAGACTGGAGTAATGATGCTGAAAATCCAGCTTTGCCATAGCAGGAATAAATTACATTTTAAAATATATTGAAATGGAACTTTTTTTTTGGAATATAATAATATTTCACTATATATATATATATATATATATATATATATATATATATATATATATATATATATATATATATATATATATATATATATATATTAATATATTAGTGAAAGGCTGCAACATAAAACATTTAAATGATATGTATAATAAAATGATATATATAAATATAATAAAAAATATATATATATTATATATCACATGTGATTTGTTCTTTAATAACACAGACATGGTTGTAATTGTCTTTAAATTGTTTTATTTGAACAGAATTATTCCTCAGGTTCATTAGAAATTCCTTGTTGTGAAGTCCTTTCTCAAAGCATGTGTAAAGAATGCTGTACATCTCTTAATTGTCCTAAAAATGACACCTGAGTACACTAAATGCTGTATATTTGCTTGCTGTTCCAGAGGAAAGTCTCCAGAGTGGTACAACAAAGCTTTTGGCCATCTCTGTGCTAGCGAGACCGCTCGCATCCGCAACTCCTTCCAGGCTTTGGATCCCGAGGGTCCAGAGACCAAAATCTGAGCCGGGCTACGTGGAGTCAGGCATGAGGGAACTGGGATGTAGTTCAACGTCAGGGCAAATAGTCACAGAGAACGAACTTAGAGAGATTCACGACGGAAGCCCCCCCTAAACAACAACAAACTGCCATGTCCTGTTGGTTTAATAGACTGTGGATCATTGGGATTCGTTTTTAGAGTGTTTTACCCCTTATAGGGCATTTAATTTAGTCCGTTTATTTCATATAAATGTATGCAGCTGTTCAAAACTGCCACTTTTGAAATGGCATTTGTTGTGTGTTTTGGGGCATGTGATTAGAGAAGAGAAAAGATGGACAGAGAAAGTGACAGAGACAGACTCCAGTGTAGCCATAAAGCCATGCCTATAAAAAAAAGTCATAATGCTGCTTCCTGTTGTCCAGTCTTTACCACAGCAGACAGCTTTAACTAGCACCTTCAGAGCTTCGCTTACAACAAACAGATGTGGATGACAAGCCACCTCATGCTAATCAAAACACAGCAGGTCTGGTTTAGTTTTTACCAAGCACTTCAAATTTAGGTACCTTATTGTCTAAACATTATTTAAAACTCTGTATTTAGGTGTTTTATCCTCATTTGAATGAAGCTAGTGTTACAGTGACTATATTTTTACACTAAGATTGTACCCTGGTGACGTATTGTTGTGAAGTATTTACTGACAAGCCCATATTATTTCTAAGTTCTGTTGAAATATGTTGTTTATCGTTACATTAGTCTTTGATTTCATTCACTGTTAAGCAATAATGCATTATCATGATAAATGCACCAGTACTGTGCTCTTCTGACAATGCAATATGATTTAAGAGGAAAAATCAAACAAAGTTGTAAATAATATAGGCAATGCTAATAATTGTTGCAATTACGGTATGGATTATTATTATTATTATTGCTGTCATATTTTGTTATATGTTGCTGTGTCACACTCTACAATGTCTGGGACATGAATTCATTTCACTGCTTCTGAGAAGCATGTCTATTTTATTCACAAAGCTGTACATTTGTGTGTGTTTGTGTATAAATGTGTAGATACAATTCTGGTTGTAAATTTTGTACAAAAATGAGGCTTATTGGCAGGTTTATCTGCATTTATGCTCAGTTATTTTCCTCATCATATCAATATTTTGCTTGAAATATCATTCCAAGCTGGTTTAATCAGCTGGCTTGTTCAGTGATGTTTTGATGGGAACTGTGTATTAGGGTTTGACTTGAGCTCAGTGACAGGAGGAGGGTGATATGTTGTGGCTCCAAAGGTAGTTTTTGAACAGTTAACAGGGTGGTTGAAGTTCCAATCATTTGGAAATGTGAAAAATAAAACCTCAATGCGATAATGTTTTACTGTTTTCAGTATTTGTTGTGTTTGGGACATATTTTGTTTGAACATGTTTTTTTTTTTTTTTGTATTCACTGAATTTGTTCTGCCTTGTTGGTCAGTCCAATAGTCGAGTCCTAAATATAGCGTAACTTTCTCAAAACATTGTAATGTATATCAACAATGGGATCTAACTAAATCACTTCCAAAGAATCGCACAGGCTGAATAATAAGGCTAACCACCAGAGGGCAGTGTGGATGCACCACAGTAGCATTGGATGCTTGGCGTCGTGTGTGCAGGTACGTTTGGAGTAATACTAACAAACTTAGAAATGTAGAGGTCAAAGAACTATTCAATTGCTTGTGAACAACATTGCCAGTAAATAGCTGTGATTGTGTTTTCTCCTGGGTCTGCAGAACCCGAGAGAGTCTCAAGGGAACTATTGATCCACGCCATTTGAATAACGCGTCTATACACAGAAGTATGAAAGGCAGAGGACACTCACTGCGGGCCATGCATCATCATTAGGGAGCAAAAAAGTATTGGCGTGTCTTTATACCAAAGAAGGTCAGATTTCATAAACATTGTCGACCACAAGCTATTCCTTCAGAAGTGATATCAGAAGGTCCGTATTTATTTAGCTATTTATCAAGTTTCGCACTCTAAGTTGATTGGACAACGAACTGAAAGTTTTATGCGTAGGCTACTTGTCTACTACGTAGTAAAATCAGTAGGCTACGTTAAATAAGTAGATTGTCCGAGTACGCAGTTTTTTATGAAATTCTTCAAGACACTGTAGCTGAGGTAAAGCTTAAAAAATAGAAAACGACACAACTGTGAGAATAACTTGTTGTTCCTCGTGTTGTACTTTTTAACAATATCTGTATACACATTATCATGCCCCCCCCCCCCCCCCCCCCCCCATTTGTTTGTACGTCATCGTCAAGCAACACTTTAAAAAAAATCTTTTTTAATAAAAGAAATTAATACTTTTATTCAGCCCGTTAAACTGATAAAAATGTGAAAGTAAAGGCATTTACAATATATATATATATATATATATATATATATATATATATATATATATATATATATATATAGTGATCCTTTCAAAGGACACACTTTTCTAATATTTTGAGTGAAATTTGATTAAATATTTTATCAAATGTCCATTAAATTAAAGCATTTTTGTGAAAGTCGCGCTTGTCATCATCAATTTGTATAATATCAGGCATCCCCCACCCTGCTTTCCATGTCTGCATTTGCATCGGCCATTGAAAATCCCATATGAATCAACCGCTGGCGCTGCTGCAGGCATGATACAGCACTGACGTGGTGACCATATCATCATTTTATGACACCTTCATGCTGTCCAGACTTGTTTTGTTTTTTTCAGTTGACATCTGACTAAATCTTTCACTCTGTTTCAAAGATTCAGTGCAGATATGCACACAGCCTCAGAGGAAGCCTGGCAGATTGAATTCCAAAAAAAACAAAAAGCAATCACTTTCTATAGCTCGGACAAATCCTAGCACAGCAATAAGGTCATTAATAAATAAAATATCAAATACGTGAATTATTTATGTTTGTGTCTGAGTGTGTGTGTGAGAGAGAGAGAAAGAGAGATGCGTGTTTTTGCTCTTTGGAGAGGATAATGTCTGGTTTGGCCTTTCAACAAAGCAAAACGTGCAAAACATTCCATAAACAGATCTATAGCTTCAATCAGACGGCTTGATTAGACATAATTCTTCTGGGAACAATTCAGGCCAGCAATTAACAATATGGAGCTACAACCTTCAGCTAATTACTGTCTTTCTTTTAGACTCCTTTGGAGGGGGATTTTTTTTTTTAAAGTGAGAGAGAATCTTCCAGAGACATGCAGCATGACCTCACTTCCCCTCCTGTCCTGTTTATTTCTGCTTCTCATGCCTTTAGAGTTGACAGAGTGTCAATTTGGTGGCTGGATATGGTCCTAATGTAGATGTATATATGCAGAGAGCGAGAGAGAGAGAGAGAATCAAAGATGCATACAGAGAAAAAAATACATGAGTTGCATACAGCCCCAGAGAGACAGAAAGACGGAAAAAAGAGAAATTCAGTTGCCTTGGCTACCATTTTGTTCATGTCACTGACTTCCTCACTATCTCCTGGCCCCTCTAGCACTCTCGTCTATCGTCGTTTCTTCTTTTCTTTTGTTTCTCCTTCCATTTCCCACACAATACACTGGCTATCTGGATGACAGGATTGCAGGGGAGCTCAGCGTCTTTTTTCTCATCAGTCGGATAAAAACCACTGAATCATTTTTTCTTTATCACTCTATTGTTATCGTTTTCTCTTCCAATCCTAAACCACACAACCTTCTCTTGTTTAGTTGTTCTTATATACTACTATATGATTTACTGTTTTATATATCTTATAGGATGCTTTGTTTTTCAGGTATTCATCATTTTAATATAATATCAAATTAGGTCTGAGAAAGTCAATTCAATCTGTATTGTTCTTCCACAACCAGCAACAGTGCCAGTCTACCTTTTTTTGTGGCCTATTTTAGTATTTTTCACTTTTATTTTTCCAATAGTTTTTTTTTTTTTTTTTTAAGTCTTGGAAATAATTATAAGCCATGAACCAAACCAACCAGCTACGAGGTGAATCACAACATTACAAACAAAAAAAGTAGCAAAAAGGTATTTGAAAATCAGACAAAAAGGCAAAGGTATAAGCAGTGCTGAGTAATAACTGATGGATTATCTAATCAGATTACAAAAATTAAATACTTGTAATTAGATTATATTGCTTTTTAAAATGCTCAAAATCTGAATACTGTTACTTTTTATTGATTACATGATTACTTAATAATCACAAAACTCCCTAGTTGTTCTTTTTTATCTTTAAAATGTTCCTTTCTCAAAAGTTTTATGGAATTGCACACAGTCATGTGTCATGTGTCTATAATTACATGGAAAACTGAGAGGCCACACAGCATAAACAAGTAAAATATTTAATCTTTTTTTTTTTTTGTTAGTGTTGTATTTTGATTATTTTTAAATTATTTATTTATTATAACCCTACATAGGGAAACCCTGATGTAATGTTTATTAATGCATGTTTATTCATGTTGCTAAAACAAAATGGAATCATTTTTCTTTCTCTTTGTATTTTTTTATCAATATGGTAGAAGATTATACTATTCAAATCAATGTGCTAAATGAGTTAGGTCAAAAGTAATCAAAAAGTAGTCTGATTATATTACCTAAAATGTGTAATGTCATAGATTACGTTACTACTTACTAATTTTATCATTCAGTAATGGACTACAATTTGTGAATATCTACCCGCACTGTGTACTTAAAGGGATAGTTCACCCAAAAATGAAAATTCATTCGTGTAAGAAAAATATCCATATTTAAAACTTTTTCGACTAAAATAACTAGCTTCTGGCAGACGCATCGATTTACGGCGAAAGACTAACCCTTGAACTTGACACACAACGTAATCCCTTACTATCCCTTTAACGGCTTCAATGAGGGGAAAAACTACAATACCATGAAGCATTGCTAATCACAATCGAATTAAAGATGTGATTCTATTGCATATTGCAACATTTTTGCTTTCAGGTACCTTTTGCGATGATATGATTAAATTAAGCCCTCAAGTTTCTGTTGGTTAGTTGCTTCTACTCAACAGTATCCAGTTTTCAC